TGGAGGAGGAGGAGGAGGAGGAGGAGGAGGAGGAGGAGGAGGACGCGATGGCGCGGGCGGCCCAGGTGGACGGGGCCGCGGCGGCCACAGCTGAGCGGCGCAAGCGCGCACGGTACTCGCAGGCCGTAGGCCTGGTGCCGTTCGCCCTGGAAACTGGGGGGCGCCCCGGCGCCGCGGCCCGCGGCCTGGCGCGCCGCCTGGCGCCGACAGAGCCTGCCCTGCGCACCGAGGCCATCGGTGACCTCTGGCAGTCGTTGGGTGTCCAGGTGCAGCGGGCGAACGCCCTACGCGTGCTCGCCCTGGCTGGTCACTGATCTGCCTTCTCTCCCTCGGCCTCCTCCTCCCCCATCCCCCCTCTGCCACACGAACCAGCCAGTTTTATTTTGATTGTTGCCCTTTTCAGGTACGTACTCGTGCGCGTGCTGTGCGTAGCTAGCTCTCTGGAGGCATAGCGTACTAGTTCCTTGACTGATCCCGCTCTTTTCCCTCTCCTTCCCCGCTCCTTGCCGCCGACGGGCGCGCGCGCCTAATGGTGTGGTAAGGTGGCTCACACCACACAGCCGCGCCCCCGTCTCCTCCGCCTTCCGGTTCCTCCCTGCTCCCTCCTCTCTCTTCCCTCCTCCCCCTCTTTTGATTTTTGGAGGCGGTGTGTCCTGTCGCCCGAGCCCAAGTGGACTGTCGCCCTCCGCCTGGGCACTCAGGAAACCTCCCTGATGGACACACCCCTCTCGTGCCTGTTTTGGAGCCCCCGCCCCGGCGCTGCACAGACCTCCCCACACGCCTAGCCCTGGTGGCCACCCGTCCCAAAGCTGGACGTGTGCCAGGGCGGAGGAGGAGGAGGAAGAGGAGGATGATGATGATGATGATGATGATGAGGAGGAGGAGGAGGAGGAGGAGGAGGAGGAGGAGGAGGAGGAGAGGAGGAGCAGGAGGAGGGGCAGGAGGACGAGGGCGAGGGAGGGCGAGGGCGAGGCGAGGAGGAGGAGGAGGAGGAGGAGGAGGAGCAGGAGGAAAGAGGAGAAGAGGAGGAGGAGAGGAGGAGGAGGAGGAGGAGGAGGAGGAGGAGGAGGAGGAGGAGGAGGAGGAGGAGGAGGAGGCGGAGGAGGAGGAGGAGGAGGAGGAGAGAGGAGGAGCAGGAGCAGGAGCAGGAAGAGCAGGAGCAGGAGGAGAGGAGCAGGAGGAGGAGGAGGAGGAGGAGGAGGAGGAGGAGGAGGAGGAGCAGGAGAGGAGGAGGAGGAGGAGGAGGAGGAGGAGGAGGAGGAGGAGGAGGAGGAGGAGGAGGAGGAGGGGGGGGACGAGGAGGAGGAATAATACGAGGAGGAGGAGGGGGAGCAGGAGGAGGAGGAGGAAGAGGAGGAGGAAGAGCAGGAGGAGGAGGAGGACGAGGAGGAGGACGAGGAGATCGAAAACGCAGGCCGAGACCTGGGCCGTCCCAATTGGTGGCGCACTCGGGCAACGCAGCCGCATAGCGCGCCAGAGGTGCCGGCAGGCTCCGCCGCCGCGGGGCTTCTGAGACCTTCCCGCCGGCGCGGCTGGGAAGAAGCCTGCGGCATCGACGAGACTCGCCGGCGTCGCTGCGCGCCAACTGGGACTTACACTCGGCGGCGAGCGAGAGAGGGGAAATGAGAAGGAGAAGGCCTTCGCAGCAGGCGGCGAAACTTCTCAGAAGCCCTCGCGACTTCGAAAAGGTTTTTCGTGTCTTCGGGGGAAGCTAGGACAACTTCGGAGAAGGCCGGGGGACTTCCGAGCCTTCTGAGAAGGCCCGTCCCCTCGTACTTCCTACCCGGGCTCGCCGCCGATGTACGCGGCTCGTGTCCTGTGACGTTGCTCGGCGTCGCTGCGGCCCCGATCAGCCCGACGCGGACAAGTACGACCAGCCTCCATCCCCAATCCTCATCATCATCCTCACTGCTCGCCGTCGTCGCCGGTCATGACCGCCATCGTGCGCTTCCGGCAGCAACGGAAGCGTCCCGGATCGGCGGCACTGGCCGGAGGCCACTACAATACCACCAGCCCTTGCGGATCAGCGGCAGCCTGTCGAGAAGCACGGCGCACCGAGCAGCGGAGGCAAAAACCCGCGACGCATGCCGGCCAGCAGCGCGCGGTGCGTCCCAGCCGAGGTTCGCCACGTCGGCGACCAGCATCCCAGGGTGACGCAGCAAAATTCGAGGAACACAACGCGGCATTGACATAAATCGTTGAAGCTCCGCGCGGACAGGCGAGAGTTTACGTTTGTGTTGGTTTAGTTTTTCCAGTAATAACACGATCACGCTGACGCCCGACGTGGCCCGATTCGGGCTACGCCGGCAAGCCTGCTGAACGCCGCCTGCACCCCCCCTTCCCCGGCTTGCGCATAGGCAGCCGTGCCTCGGTGCGCAGCAGCACCGCCATCCCACGATGAGCAGGGTGCCAGCTCCTCTTCCTCCTCTTCCTCCTCCTCCTCCTCCTCCTCCTCCTCCCCCTCCTCCTCCCCTTCCTCCTCCTCCTCCTCCTCCTCCTCCTCCTCCTTCTCCGCCTCCTTCCCCCCCTCCTCCTCCATACGGGGCAACTCAGCAGCTATGCTCCCGAGTACCCGACCACGTCCCCACGGCCAGCAGCAACGGGTGCCCCGAAGATGACACCGGGTCGCCGCGGAGGTCATCAGGCGGCCAGGCCGCCCTGCCTTCAGCATCATCAGACATCTCGGGCGCCGTCCTCTGCACCTGGGAATGGCGAGGGATCTGGGCACGGCCAGGAGGCGATCCCGCTTCAGGTTTGCTCTAAAAGCCCGTGGGCGAGGCCGCGCCATTGCAGCAGTATGCAACTGGTGCCCCATGTTTGCTCTGGCCAGCGACGGGGCGTAATATGTTTGCATGACGAAAGCTGACTTCGAGCCAAGCAGGCTCGGGGATCGAGGTCAGGACCAGAGCACCAGGCGAGCCAGGAGTGCGCGTCCTGTGGGCTCTAATCGGCGACGCGGGGGCGCCAGATCTCCTCCTCCTCCTCCTCCTCCCCTCCTCTAGGCCGGCGCAGGCGTGGGGATCCTGGACGGGGGGCACCCTGATCCAAGCCATCGGCGAGGCTCGCCTGCCGCTCTGGCGCTCCACGCGAAGGCCTCCTTCGCCTCCACGCGGGCCTTTCGCTCCTCCGCGTGGCTCTTCACCTCGGTATCGAAGTCCCAGGCGGCTGCCATGCGCCGCCGATGAAAGTCGGCCTGCACCTTGCTGTCCTCCGCGAGGGCGCCGTCGGCGGCCTGCAGGCCCCGTTCCCCGGCCGCCGGCGTCGGAGTCCGCGGTGTTCTCCCGGAGGGCCGTCTTCGCCTCCGCGCGGGTCTCCGGCTCCCCCGTGTGGCTCTTGAGGATCGGGCTCCAAGTCCAGGGCGGAAGTCGTGCTCTGCTGGCGGAAGTCGACGCCGCCATCTCGCAGCTCTTCGGCTCGCGCGCAGGCCAGCTCCGCGACCTGCGCCAGGGGCCGTCCTGACACCTCGTCGTGCAGGTCACAGGCCGCACTGACCAGACTGATTCTCGCCGCAGGCCGCGGCCGTGCCATCGCTCCTAAGCAGCGCAGTGCTGACATATCAAGTGTCATCCTGCTTGCAGGGCAAGTCCGCGACCGGCGCAAGCAGGTCGCGCTGACTTAATCGACTGTCGCCGCAAGCCGCGGCCGAAGCATCGCTCCTGGGCAGCCTGGCGTGGCGAAATCCAGCGGCGACGTAAGTTCTGCGGCCAGGGCAGGCTGTCCGCGATGACCAAGGGTTGATTCTAGCCGCAGACCGCGCTCGTGCCATCACTCCTGAGCAGCGTGGCCAACGCAGGGAGGTCGCGCTGACCAGCAATGTCCACGCAGTAGGCCACGGCGTTGCCATCGCTCCTGAGCAGGACTGCGTTGCAAACGCTGTCAGCAACTGCGCGCAAGTCAGGTCTGCGACCAGCGCGGGGAGGCCATCCTGACTCTCATGTCGGGCACGTCGCAGACCATGGAGGAGGCCATGAGGATGAGGATGAGGAGGAGGAGGAGAAGGAGGAGAAAATGCAGCGAGCACATGGGACGACGCGCCGAGTTCGGGTTCGGGGATTAGAGGGGGCGCTTGGAAAAGGCGAGATGCATCACGTAGCACGTAACGGAGACCAAACCTGCGCATTACAAAGCACATCATAAAGTCGATCGAGGGGGATGCGACATCACTGGCGCAACTCAGAAGGTCCTCACAAGCCTCGGGAGCAATGAACTACTTAACGCGAGCGAATTTACACAGAGCTGCGATAAGTATGAGGACGAACCATTGAACGGCCTCGTCCGTCGCCAAGAGGGGATGAGGGACGGATGAGGATGAGGAGAAGCAGGAGGAGAAGGCAGAGCGAGGAGGAGGAGTGAGGAGAGAGCAATAATGATGACGATGATGATGATGATGATGGTGATGATGATGATGATGATGACGATGATGATGATGAGGATGATGCTGACAATGACAATGACAATGACAATGACAATGATGATGATGATGATGATGATGATGATGATGATCATGATGATGATGATGATGATGATGATGATGATGATGCTGATGATGTGGAGGAGTGGGAAGAAGAGAGGAATGCGGAGGAGGAGGAGGAAGAGGATGGAGAAATGATGATGGGGACGAGTGAGGAGGAGAGAGGAATGAGGAGGAGTAGGAGGGAGGACTGCTGCTACTGCTGATGATGACGATGATGATGATGACGATGCTGATGCTGATGATGATGATGATGATGATGATGATGATGATGATGATGATGATGATGCTGATGCTGATGATGGCGACGACGACGATGATGCTGCTGATGATGCTGATGCATGGGGATGCTTATGATGATAATTGTGATTCTGATTATGATGATGATGCTAATTATGATGATGCTGCTGATGATGATGATTTTGTTGCAAGGCTCTTGCGGATGCCACGGCCGAGGCTCGGCCAGGTCGGGTCTGACGCGCAAACTGCGCAGCAACACATGCTGATGATGCTGCTTCTGCTGCTGATG